TAAAAGGTTGATATAGAGCATAGCTAGTAAATCTTAAATTGAAAGGAGAACAGGTGTTCTTATCGCTTCCAAATTCGAGAATATGACTTCTTATGAGAGATGTAATGGCGAAATAAGTAAAATTACTGCACATAAATCTAAGCACTATGTAGTGTAGTATGGTATAGTATAGTATAGCATAGTATAGTACAGTGTAGTAAAGGAGTTACAGTCGTCTCAAGTTGGCTAGAAAGAATATAAGTAAAAGTGGCCATTTTTTTTTTCAATTCGAGAGCTTGAAACATTTTAAAATTACTGCAGTTTAAGAAAAGCCAATTTTCGGGGGCCGTGCATCACTGAGGAGGTAAGTAAAGAGTTATTATAACGTTGTGATACTAACCTGTGAAAGATGGGTTCGCTCGCTGATAGGAAAGCCCCGATGCGTCGCATCGACCAGTTGAAGAAAAAAAATTGGTATCCATCAACTCTACAGATCATTTGAAGGAGGTAAGGCTGGCATGTCTCGATTGTAACAAGTTTTGTGGCTCACTTCAGATCACATTATAAAGAAGTAAGGCATCGGACGCTTCCGAGGTAACATGTAACCATTTATGAAAATTATTTTTCGTTTTGGACAATCTAAAAATTTCTGTTTACAGAAATTGTTCGGCGGCTTCCCGACTCATTACTTCATTACACGGGGTGACATGTTTGATATTTCAACACTTTTTTGTATCCTAACAATTAGGGCAATCCAGAGCAGTCCTTCCAAGTTAAGTTCAGTGCCACGCAAAAGTATCCTGTGTGGTCTAGTCCAGTAGACTACATCTACGTGCGATACATTTCGGTGCATATCAGTCCCATGAAGTGCAGTGAACTGCTGTCCTGTACGGTGCTTTCCATTTAAATCCAGGAAGTGTAGTGTGGTGCAGTTTGGTAAAGTCAAGCTCAGTGTAAAACAGTCCAGTCCAGTGAAGTGCAGTGCCTTCTAGTCCAGTCCACTCAGGTGCTGTCCAGTACTGTCCAGTCAATTGAGGTGTAGTCCAATCCAGTTAAGTCCAGTCCAGTCCATTCAGTTAAGTCTGGACTGTCCAGTACAGGACAGTTCAGTCCTGTCCTGCTCAGTCCGGTTCATTCCCGTCCAATTCCATTCAGTCCCGTCCAGTCAAGTGCATTTTAATCCGCAACACCCCAGGTCCATAAAAGCAAACTGCAGTCGAGTCTAGACCTGTCAACTTCAGTGCAGCGTAGTGCAATCCATAACACCTAAGTCCAGTCCCGTCCAGTCCAGAACAGCCAACTGCTGTCGAGTCTAGTGCAATGCAGCCCGGCTCAAGTTAGGTACAACCTCTTGCAGTGCGGTCCTGTCTATTCGAGCGAAGTGCTATTCAGAAAAGCCGACATTCAAGTCCAGTTCAGAGAAGTTCCAGTCCCGACCAGTCCAGTCTTCGGTTGTCACACCAACCCATTGAAGGGCGTCTACATACACTGTCGCAGACAGCTATTTTCAAATGATGGCTTAAAAAGAATAAACCCAATAACTTGAAATAAACAAAAATAATTCATCAATAAAAAATAAAATGAAGAAATAAAATTTATCTTAACAACTAATAACAGAGACTTTTTTTATTAAATTCTTAAAGAAATGATGGATAAATAGGAAGATCAATAAATATGTAGATAATTTGATAAATACATGAATTAGTAAATAAACAATATCAAAATGAGATGCAAAGTTGTCTAAAAACTTTTTCTAGGGTTTTTTTTTCACAAGACCTAGTTTTCCCGAGATACCAGCTGACCTTTTGAAGGACAGAAGGCAATCACAGGGTCACCAATGGTTCAGGGCTGAATTTGTAACACTGGAATAGCACTAGAATGGGCCTGAAGTGTTCAATAAAAAGATTAGCATAACAATAAGCTGAGCTACAGCTGCGAGGAGAACCCACGATACGGCGCGCGGTCCAACCCTCTATGAGAGCTTTATGGAACCGAGACATATCTCTTAAATTTAATTCCAAGCGATCGTTTAACGAGCGTTTCATATGAACTTTAAGGGGTGGTCGGAGTCCTTACTCACCCATCCATTCCCCTCTTTGGAGTTAAAATTGCACGCGCTTAAAACACCAACGACGGTGGTTTAATACAACAGTTGAATTACGGCGAAATAAGTGAAATTAATACACATGCGCCTACTTATTATATAGAATGGGAGTTAAGGTTGTATTAACTTTGCATGAAAGAATATAAAGGAAAAGCAAGCATTTGTTCGATCTGAGAGCTTGGAACATTTTGAACTGATACTAACGATAACCTTTACGAAAAGGCTATTAATATAATGCAGAAAGAGTTCTGAATGTTCCTGTACAACTTATCGACTTAAAATTACCGTGGTGACATCATTTTAAAACTCGGTTGAGCACTTTTAAAAAAATACTGGTCTACTGATGTGGGGGTTTTGATTTCGTCATTAAAAAAAGAAGTAGTTTATTATCGTTTTTAGTGTGTGAAGTGACTTCAAATTGAAAGTTCAGTAAATTCTTTGAAGATAAAAAGTTTCCGCTTTTAATCAAATATCAAAAAATGCGGCTGTACATTTTATTAGTTGAAAAATGTTTTTTTTATCTGCCCATTTAAAATTCAATAAAAAAAATCGTCAAGAAAAACACGAAGAGAGACAACACAAAGTATCAATTTGTACTCAAAAAAATTAATCAATTATCTGCTTCTGTTGTTTTATAGAAAAATCTAATTGATGGAATCATTCAACTTTATTTGAGATTGTCCATTTTCCAATACCTTAAAGCTTTTGCTCCTGTTATCTATGTATTCCTGAGTTTATTTCCAATAAAAGATTTAACATATTTTTTGACTGTTGTACACTTGTTCTTCTCTATTTCCTTTC